CCTTCTCCCAGAGTCCACAAGTCTGTTCCATACATCTGAGTCTCTTTTTCTGTTTTGCATATAGGGTTATCGTTACCATCTTTCTAAAGTCCATATATATGTGTTAGTATACTGTAATGGTCTTTATCTTTCTGGCTTACTTCGCTCTGTATAATGGGCTCCAGTTTCATCCATCTCATTGGAAGTGAGAATCAGCATTTTCTAAACCAAATGATGCTTACCCAGAAATTCTCTCCCAAGCCATCAGTACCGCTTCATGAAATACTTACATAGTCAATGAACTCCACGAACAACCACTTATTGGACTGGTTTTAAAAGCTTGTTTACAGTACCACCATTTAATCTCAGGGACAATAAGTAAATATTGCCTCTGTTATCTTTTTACTGGTCTCTTCTGATGATTGTATACAACAGCATTTCTCAAATTTTTTGGCCCTTGGACTCCTTAGCCCAGCCAAAAATTATGGAGGACCCTCCAAAGAGCTTTTGTTTATGTAGGTGGATATGAATACTTACTGAACTGGAAATTAAAACAAAATTTTGAAAAATATAATTCATTTAAAAATAACAAACCCATTGCTTGCTAACGTACATAACATTTTATGGGGGAAAAAGACTATTTCAAAAAAAATAGAGTGAAAAGAGTGGCATTGTTTTGCAGTTTTGCAAATCTCTTTATTAGGTGTCTTCAAAAACACATGGATTCTTATATCTGCTTCTGCATCAATCTCTTGCACTTGAAGTGGTTTAAGTATGTAAGAAACTCTAACCTCGTATAGATAGGTATTTGGAAAAGAGGAGAGTATCTTTTTAAAATCTTCATTGTGGGGCATGGACTTAATTGCTTCTCAAGCATGTGGAATCTTCGTGCTCCTGCTGGGATCGAACCCCCGTCCCCTGCATTGGAAAGCAGATTCTTAACCTCTGGACCACCAAGGAAGTCCTTAGAGGTGGTTATTTTAATACTCTTTTCAGATGACTTGACTGAATGTTCTTTGATAATTCACCAAAGCTCAACAAGTGATGGTTTTTCAAAGGTTCATTGCCAGTTGGAATCTGAAATCACATCAGTGACTTCTGACACTGTTACATCAAATCCATGGGTCCATCTGGTGCTGTGACGGGGTCTGCTACCCAGGCACGATTTTGTAGCATCAAACATTGGTCATTTGGGAAATACTGGCCCACAAAGTTGTGCAAATCTTCCAAATACCGACACATGGCATGATTATGCAAAATTAAAAGATCACGTTCATTCATGTCACCACCGAGCTCATCAGAAAAATCTTGTAAGTATTGCGAAGCTGCCAAGCTCACGGTGGTAGATACAAGTTTCACCCAAGTTCCAATTTTCACATGAAAGCTCCCATGCTCTCTGTGGCAGCAAATTCTGTTAATTGCTTCCCTTGAAGCCTACTTCATTCATTTTCAAGGAAACATCTGCCAAGTAACCCGGCTGAATAACCCCAGGTCGTCAGTCATTCCTTAAGTAACAATGATTGACACCCCGTGGGAAGAGTGACTGGATTCCCCCAGCCCAGCCACTTAGCTCTTCCCTGAGACAGATTTGCCTCTGTGCCCCGTGTCAGCACACAGAATGTTAAAGGGATGGAATTTAATGAAATCCAGTGTTTCTGCCACACCAAGGATGTTCTCCAGTGAACCTGGCATTTTTGCTTCAGTCCCCAGGGTGT